GTTTTAGGCACATGCTGGGCGATCAACTGGTGACATATGTATATCTAAAAATTTGGTGTAAAACGAATCTGAATCAGCGGTCGTGTTATTCAAGTTGATCCAGTCGATATGGGTAAGAGCTGAGATTACAACCTTATAATTACCTTTCGTGAAGCATTTGTACGGTTCTGTTAGACCGACTAAAGCAGGAGGAGTGATAGAAATGTTGAAACGCACGCATTTGTGATCAGATGTGCTAAAGGGGGAAGAACATCTAAGTTCTTAATGATTTCTGGCTCAGAGATCAGCAGGATGTCGTTGAGAGTTTAATGCCATGTTTTTTTTAAAAGCCACAATAAAGATGCATGAATAATATCAGAACTGTACATGAGTTCAGCATCAGCACTTCAGTAAGAGATAGTATCCTTAATTTGCTGTACATGAAAACAGAAAAACTAACGAATCCTCAAACAAATCAGTGGTGCAATTCAGAACCGAAATGAACTATGACATTACAAATATCATATTGCTAAGCATACTGGTTCAGCAAGTCCGCCAGTAAAAGTTTCTTCTACAGAAGTTCTTTCTTTAATGCCAAGTTATCGACCTCCATGGTCAATATTTATTCTTTTGAATGCGCTCGCCTTTGCTGTGGTTGCTCTGACGTCAGCGGCTGCGCCACCATTTCTTCCTTACAGGTGCTCTCCATAGTTGGGTTTTGCCCGACCTCTATCCTCCCTCGACTGGGTCTTTCTTTTATCGCTTCGAATACTCGCTTTTGGCCTGCAGTTAGTCGCGGCAGAGTCGCCATTTTGCCGCCGCCTGTTTTTCCCGTTTCGCTGGCCAGTGCGGTTCCATATCTTTCCATGATTTTAATCTCATCACGAGTTTTTTGTTCGATCTGTTTTTCAGTCCGTTTAGCGACTCCCATGGCATTGATGTCTTCAGTGAGTCGATTGATGGATCTTCTCTTAGCAGGAACGCCGATTCTTGATCCTCCGACCCTGGCATGGTGGAAAATTTCGTAATTATCCACACTGCGTTCTAATATCAAGCCACTTTCCCTCTCCGAAAACGGGTAAATGGCAGCACCTCGAGAATATTCACCACTCCCATGCTCTGTTCCTTCCGTAGTAACACTTTCTGCGCTCTCCGGCGACTCCACTGTTTCATAGGGGTCCTAGAAGTAATCCATTTCTTTGTGAGATGGCAGTATCAGCAAAAAATACGATATCGAAGTAGTACCATGGAACAAACACTTCACTTCCGCACGCAATCAAGTCAAAAGCAGAAACGACGAAATACAAGGGCAGACGGACCTACGATATCGCAATCAAGCAAGGAAAGCGAAAGCAACGCAGTAATTTATTTTCTTTCAGAAGCTACGAAAAGAGTGCAGCGTGACAATTTAGTATTTTTTGAGATCGTAGCGAACAAGCACGAACAAAACTGCAACAACAACTCAATAAGACGGA